CGCACGCACACACACACGCACACACACACTCACACACACACACTCACACACTCACACTCACACACACACTCACACACACACACTCTCACATTCACACTCACACACTCACACTCACTCACTCACTCACTCACTCACACTCACACTCACACTCACACTCACACACTCACACTCACACACACAATCACACACACACACTCTCACATTCACACTCACACACTCACACTCACTCACTCACTCACTCACTCACACTCACACTCACACTCACACTCACACACTCACACTCACTCACTCACTTACTCACTCACACTCACACTCACACACACACACACACCTTTAACTCTTCACAGGTTATCAGACTCAAACCACTGCAGAACGTCAGGAACCCCGTTACCATGGTTACTCATGACCTCCATACATCCCATAATAACACGCATCTCTCAGGACCAACAGCAACACTCCAGCATCTAAGTTACACAGACAGCACTGATTAATTACATGTCAATTTAATAAAGGAGCTTGAGCACTAATATAACAGAATTTTCACTAAATAGCATTTTGAGCAAATTAAATGCTGACATTTAGAAGTCGTTAAGTTGCACAAGCTCAGAATTACTAGAATTACTACAGATTAATTCCTTTTACAGTGTAAAGCTCTGCAAGCATGCATGTTACTAAGAGGATGTGTGTAAAGATCTTCATCATCTGAAATGAGTGAGTAGATGAGCTGGAGTAACGCTGCCCTCTGCTGGACAGGTGAAGAAAACCATAACAACAACACACATTCATATGACAGCTGTGCTTGTTTTCATCTTTCATTATAGCTCAGTAGTGGATGTGCTTTTGTGAAAGCTAAAAGGAAGTGAAAATGACTTTTTTTTTACATCCTGTTCTTCAAATTCTGCTCTCCACAGAGAATATGGAATATATGATAATATTATTTTAAAAAATGATGATATGATAAAGTTCAGACACACTTGAGGAAATTTACATTTCTAGTGTTTTAAAAACCTTTGATCCATCTTAAATGCTTAAAATTTAAATATAAATTGTCTGTATTATTAATTATTTTACAAAACCTAAATATCAATACATCCCAGCTGACAAGTTTTGCTAATGTTCCCATGAAGTTATGAAAATGTTTTTTTTGAACATTAAAACGTTTTTTGTTTATGTAATGGCTGTGTGAACATTAGAGACAATATTAAAGGGACAGTTGACTCAAAAATGACAATTCAGTCATAATTTACTCCCCATCAAGTTGTTCCAGACCTGCATGAGTTTCTTTCTTCTGTTGAACACAAATACAATATTTTGAAGAATGTTGGTAACTAAAGAGCTGACGGTAGCCATTGACTTCCATAGTAGTCAAGCCAGTGAAAGTCAACGGGGATCAGTAACAGTTTCTTCAAAATATGTTCAGCAGAAGAAAGAAATTCATTCAGTTTTGGAAAAACTTAAGAGTCAGTAAATGATGACAGAATTTTTTATTCTTGAGTGAACTGGCCCTTTAAGAGAATGCTACATTTGATCATGTCGCAAACATTAGGGGAATGTTACTTTTGAATGTTCTCCGAACCACTGGAAACTAACAAGTAGTAACATTTAAAAATGTAACAAGAACGTCCAACTACAATGTTTCAGAAGACATTCCATCATCGATGCATAAATAATATTTTGAGAAGGTTATTAAAGACCAGATCACTTTGAACGAATGTTCTATAACGTATCTGGTAGAAAGTGTTCATGGCTTTCTGAGAACTTACATTTATTGCACTATTATTCCAGCATTATATTCCCTGTCAGTGGGAACCTCAGCTTGGACTTTGAGCAGACAAACACGAACACGAGACGATGCTCTGCTGTGTATTTTACTCTGGTCCTCCAGCTGATGAGCGGTGGCTCTGATAAAGGTCTCGTTACCCTCGCAGACGTGGACTCGTCCTCATTTCTGCTGATCATTGATCTCTGATAGTCTTATCAGCCTCATATAAAGCGTGTCCAGCTCTGGCTCACTGCTAGACGTTCAGCTAAAGCCTGAAGATGATGCCAGTGACCCAGCGTCTGCTCGTGCTGACCGCTCTGCTGTCTCTGCTGCTGCTGGACTTACAGGTACATCACCTCACAATCACCGAGCTGAAACAGCTGCAGTCTTCCAGTGGACCTGCAGAAAACACAGGGTTGAATCTACATTTAAAACATCTCTATTTAGTCTTGCTTTCTTACAAAGACTTATAAGTTTCATAATTATTCATATTCAATTTTGCTGTATATATTATCGGTTTTCTTTTTTTTTTTATACTTCTCAATAAAACAATCTCATTTGTTATTTCCAAACGTTTGAGTCAATCACTTTTTCTTGCCTTTGAATTTGTTTGAACATTTTCTAATTAAAAGATAAATAAAACGTGAATTATATTATGCTAATTAAATCAAACTTGATTGATGCTAGAACATTATAGTAAATCATTTTTACAAAGAACCAGCAAGTAACACTTTGAAGTTTTCAAGGAAAATTAATAATAATAATAATAATATTTTATATATACTGTGTGTGTATATATATGATCTTAAGCTTCTTTATCTGATTAAATGTTAAAATGTGACATACTGTATGTACATGTATTTTCTTAAATTTAAATATGAGACAAAAATATATATTTTAAATGCTTTTTAAATATTATTATATTTCAAAAATATATTTTCAATAATATATATTTAATAATATTTTTGAAAATTATTTTTTTTTGCTGCCCTATGGGTTTACTCCCATATACCACAAATAAGACCATAAAAAAGACAAAAGATCAGTTCTGCATATCAGTGATATCAGTGTCAGTCATAAAACACACTATCAGCTGATCTGGAGTCAGCTGCATGTCACTTGGATCATCTGGTAATGTGCTTCCTCCAGCTGGAATAACACGGCTCTCATCTCATCATTTTCCTGCGATTGTAAGGCGATGCTGCGTGGTGGACTGAAGTGCTTGTTTTATTCTGCACGCTGCTTTTGTTTGCACATACTGTAACGCTTCTGTAAATCATTGTCTGGAGATGCACAATGTCACTCCCAGAGCAAATGTTGGGGTTTGACCGACCTTGACAGCTTTCTAAATTTAGCGGCTTGAGAGTCTAAATTTGTACATTTGGGACATAATTTCCTCTCCAAATTAAAGTGAAGATTACTTATTAAACATTTGCAAATCATCTCAGTATGGAAGGCCATTTCTGCCATGGAATAAAAAAACTAAAAAGTAATTGCAAAATTTTTTTTTTTTTTCATCTCACAATTCTGAATTTTTTTTCCCCCTTGCAATTGAGTTTATTTCTCCCAATTCTGAAATTTTTTCTCTCTCTCAATTTTGAGAAAAAAGTCAGAATTGCAAGATACTATGAGAAGAAATGTCTGAATTCTGAGATGTAAACTTGCAATTGCAATAAAAAAATTCTGAATTGTGAGATAAAAAGTAATGCAATTATCTAAATTATTTATTCAATGGTGGAAAAAAATGTAACTCTGAGACATAAACAAACAAAAAAAAATTGATGAGATATAAACTCAGAAATGCGAGAAAAAAACATTACAAGCTGAACATTTGAGTCTAACACACGCTGTCTCTCTGTCTGTCTGTAGGTCCAGACGGCACCCATAGACACTGACTGGGCGACCGGACTGATCCATCGGGCCAAGCGCTCGTTACTATGGCGATGGAACACTCTGAAGCCCGTGGGTTCTGGATGCAGAGATCATTATGAGTGCGGAACCAACTACTGCAGGTGAAGAACGGCACCAAACACCTCAGTCCTGCCGCTGCGCTTTGGACGTCCCGAGTTCGAATCCCAGCTTGGGGACCTTTCCCAATCCTGTCCCCCATCTCCCTCTCCCACTTCACTTCATGTCCTCTCTACACTGTCCTATCAAATTAAAGGCAAAACGCCAAAAGTAAATCTAAATCAAAAGTATATATATATATAAAAAAAAATAATAATAATATGCAGTACATTGCATTCTTAAATTTTTTTGAAAATGGAAAACTTCAAAATTCATTTTTACTTTCAGGGGCAGGAAATGGATAAACAGCTTAAATATTTTCTATCATCAATCAAACAGCTTATATAATTAACCATAAAAAATTAAGTTCATTTTGTTTTCTTCATTTACTTAAAAAAATGAAAAAGATGCCATTTTCCAATTTTTCTGGCAATATTAAATAAAAAAACAATTGAATGCAACAGACCGGGCAGTAATACTTTGTTAATTTATTAACACTATAGTCAAGAAGAACTGACAATGAACATACTTCTACAGTATTTAGATGATTAATCTTAAAGTTAGACTAATTTTAATATTTACTAATACATTTCAGTTTGTTTGCATTAGTTAATACACTGTGAACTAACATTAACAATTGTATTTTATTAACTAAATTAGTATAAAAGTATATACATTTATACTACATATGAAAGATATTTTTTCTTAACTAAAGGCTACAGGCCTATATTGCTCATTAGTCCATGTTAGTATTAACTATAAAGTTAAGAAATGAGAGCTTCTTGTAAAGTGTAACCAAATGCTTGTTGTAGAAGTATTTCTATGAAAAGGTTTAGCAGACATGAAAAGAGAACGAGCGGGATTTTTAAGAGTTCAATTCGTTGATAGATTGACGGTTTGTGACATGAGGACGTCAACTTTAAGTTCATTTTCATATATTTCTAGCCATCATTTTTAATGCATATATTAAAAAAAAAAAAGACTTGTGTAATTTGACCAAACAGGATAAAGGCCACAAACCAACTAACACCACAAAACATGACAGCGTTCATCAAATCAACCGATACTTACAAATATAGCATTCAGATGCTTTCCCTCCAATAAATGAATGATGCCACTTGAAGATGTCGGAGACATATATGAATATACATTCAAACCAAGCTGATAAATACATCACTGTGATAAAATGTTTATCCTTTAAAATGTGGGTAATATTTAGCAGGAAGACATAAAACGATTCAAAACCAAATCGTAGGCCTATTTGAAAGTGATTCGATTGAAACACGTGATTCGCTTCGTTTTCTCAAGTTTGTACAAGTTTGTTTTTTTTGTCGCTCTAAGTAAAGCAAATTTATCGTGAAATATCGCTATATGACTGTATCGATTAATCGACATAAAAACCATCTACATTGTAATTCAATACGTGTGCGGTTCAAAGCTGGATTGCATTTGAAGGATTTTTTTAGGGCTCTGAGAAATGTGAATTTATCTATGATTGCCTATTGACAACTCTAATCACAAAAAGACTTTCACACAGAAACCTGAACCTTAAGCTGCAAACAGATAAGCGTTTATCACAGAAAACATTGACCGCTATTCGTGAATCAGCAATTATGCTACACTCCAGCAACAAGCCGGAAATGTTTTCACACATTTTATATTTCCTATTTTTTTATGAGTGGCATATTCTTATGCGAGTGCTTCAAAAATAGCCTACTTTTCCTCTCTTTCAGGAAACACACGTGCTCCTTCAATAAAGCTCAACAGGCCTGACTGAGGATGAATGATGAGGGCACCAAATCAAATGATGGAAAACAAAATGGCTAAAATTGTGCATCCCTTTGATTTCTCAAACATCATGACCTACATCAATCTGACAGAACATCTAAAGACGGCAGAAGACTTTCAGATCTACATCAATCTCAAGACTGTATTCAGGTGAATCTCACCAAGAATTGTCCAGGTCATGTTAACCTCCAAAATCAGAACGGTTTTAATTTATTTGATTTTGGGCCAAAATATGACCCGGCGTGTTCTTGACACATTCACCTCCTCAGGAACACGTCTACAAGAACTCCAGTTTCATCATCTGTGTTTTATAGTTGTACAGATCTTGATAACGTGTAAAATATTAACTTTGCATCTATAGTTTCTGATTCAGATTCAATGAGGCCGAGATGTTTGATCTGATAAAATACAAACACACATGGCAAAAGCATCTGTAGCAAATCTATTTCATTATCAGCTGCAGCTTCCAGAAGAATCAGGACGTATTTATTTTGTAAATATCAGACACGTAAACTGAGATGGTGCAACATGCTTTTTTTATTATTTTGTTTGTCTCGTTATTTTTGTTACATTGATAGTGCAATATTTTTTTAAGGAAAACTAAAAATGCTCACATGATGAAATAAATGCATAAAAAATGAATTTAAAAAATGGAATCAATCATGAACATTCCTTTTTTTAAACCTAAAACAGTCAGCTAACATCAACACTGGGTCTTAATTCATAAACACAGTTCACGTTATCATTTCACAATCATCGTAATCAGGAGATTTAATTACGATTTCCATCCTGGGAAAAGTACATTTACTGTCAAGCTGAAGTGAAACTGAAATCACACCAGTTTCAGATCAAACCCACAGACATCACGCACTGTAGTGATATTCTGAACTTCACTGAAACAAAATTAGCAACCCTCAAATCTTCCCTTTTCAGACCTAAAAAACACCAAAACCAGCCATGAACTGCCACCAAACACCTGCAAGAATAAAACATGAAATGAACCATGCAGGACATGAGGTTTATTAAACATAAACAAAAACTAAACCGATCAGTGCATGAAAATGAACATTAAATATATTCAGGAAACTGAAATGTTCAAGAAAACAAATCTTCTTAATGCTGTGGTAATACTGATGAAACACTTGATGATGCATTTACTGAACACTGAAAACAAGGTTGTGTCTGGTTATTCAAGAAATTGTAGAGTTGTAAACAGAGTTTAAATTAGTGATTATGGTCCATTTCTTTCAGAAATATTGTAAAAGTGGTATTAGCTGACTCTAAAAACATTTTTGAGCCAATGTACCATCAAAATCTTGGTTTGCATCTAAGAAAATCACTTATATGGCTGAGGAGAAAACAAGCGCAAATACATCATGGCACCAAAACAAGTTATTTGGTCATTTTAAAAAAGGATTTAGTGATTTTAAAATGCGTGTGGCACATTATTGACTTTTCAGATTCACGTGAAGCAGACTAAAACTTACATTAGTTCTGAAATCAGCATGCGTTGGCACCGCTGTCAGTTTATTTGTCAGATGAGCTCATTGCAATTGCATAAGTGTATTAATATCGTTGTGATGTGTACAGGTGACATCAATATCTCGAGCACTGATGTGTAACGTGTTGCATCACATCTGCTGTCTCTATTAGTGTTTTCTGATATATAATTCAGTTTAGGAAATGAAACATTTTTTCTGATTTGGACACTCCTGCGCTATTTGGTTCTGCGATACTCAATCAATCATCTGAAGCATTAAATGCATTAAAAACACGTTTGAAAGATCCGGATCCGAGGCCAGGTGACCTGAGACAAACTTTGTACTTTGAGTCGTCTGCCACATGCACCGATGCTCCTTGAACCGACTCTGGCCGTGTGAAAAAAAGAAATCAAGCTCAATGTCTAAACACATGTTGGTTCATTATGACGTCTGGGGAGTTTACGATGAAAGCAGGGGCTGACGCTCAGCCTCGGTGCTCTGAAAGAGAAAAAAAACAGTTCGAAAAAGACATTAAAATACAGCAAATGAATTTACAGGCAGCACTGCATGTGGCCTTTGTGG